ACCGTCTCTCCTGCCCGGGCTGGCTTTGAACCGCGATCCTCAGATCTCAGCCTCCTGAGTAGCTAGGATTACAGGCGTGAGCCACCAGCGCCCGGCTTAATTACAAATATTGTTATACTCAAACAAATGGTTTGACCTCAGCTCTCTCAATCAGCTTTTTTTTTTTTTTTTTTTGCTTCTGGATGGTGTTTTACCACTTGAGCTACACTTCCACTTATAGCTTTTTGTTGTTTAATTGGCGATAAGAGTCTCATAGACTTCTGCCAGGAGTGGCTTCAAACTATGATCCTTAGATCTCAGCCTCCTGAGTAGCTAGGATTATAGGCTTGAGTCATCAGCACCTGGTATTTCTTAAATTATTTCTTATTCAAAATCTGTTGATGTAAAATACTTGTTTGTTTTAGGAATTGCAATTCCACCCCAGGATATTCTATACACCACGCTAGGAGCTCTGATTAAAGAAAGGAAGATTTATCACACTGGAGAAGGATACTTCATAGTTACACCTCAGACTTACTTCATCACAAATACAAGTTGCCAGGAAGATAAGAGAATACTTCTGTCAAAAGAAGACTGCCTGGTGCCTACTTCTGTGACCTATCTGGTGAACTTGGAGAGCTGTACAGAGTTGGCCAAAGAGAAGGCTGCCCCCATTTCCCATTGTCCCTCCTGCCAGTGTTTTTCTGACATGTGCATTCAAGACATTGAAGACCCAACAAGTGTTGCAGAAGTGACTAGAAAAGGCCAAAAAAGTCCAGGGGAATCTGTACCTTTGGTTCAGAACCAGGAAGTTTCAGCATCTCAAGACACTCACATCTGTGATAGCCTCAAATCTTTACCATACACAAAAGACAAAGAAAAAGGCAGGAAGTTTGGCTTTGGTTTCTTATGGCGCAGTATATCCAGAAAGGAGAAGCCCAAAGCTGGGCACAGCAGCTTCTCGGCACAGTTCCCTCCTGAAGAATGGCCTGTCCGAGATGAAGATAACTTGGACAATCTTCCCCGACATGTTGAACATGAGATAATCAAAAGAATTAACCCTGTGCTGACTGTTGACAATTTAATCAAACATACCCTCCTAATGCAAAACCATGAAGAACAGAAAAAATGTAATAGCCAGGGTACTTCCACTGATAGGCTGACAGCTAGACCTAAATGTCTTTCGAAAGAGGGAGTTACCAGGAGGCAGGGTCGGTCAGCAAAGCCTCGCAGGCAGGGCCACACTCATAGGGGCAGACATAAAGCCCGGAGCCAGGGAAGCATTAGACTGGAAAAGCACTCCAGGTGTCCTGCTGCCCAGCCTACCTGTGGCATTAAAAATCCCAATGAAGGAGAAGTTCAGAAACTACCTGGCGAGAATCCAGCTGTTCTAGGTTCCCACTTGATTTACAAAAAGCGAATCAGTAATCCTTTCCAAGGCTTGTCTCTCCGAGGGAGCCCAATAACCACAGGGCACTACATTCAGAAGACCAGTCATCTGAAATCTAGTCAGACTGGACCAAAGGAAAAGCCTTTCCAAAGGACAAGGTCTTCAGGTCCCTCAGGAATCTTTGATCATGAAGCCCAACAGCCATCTGCCGAGCAATGTTATGATAAACAGAAAGCAGAGTCCACTTATATGACTGACTCTACTGTCCAGCCTCCTGGTGATGACTTCAGAGGTGGTCTCTTAAATTACCCTCAAGGTGGTGCTTCACAAAATGACAGCCATTGCTGTTCTGTGGAAGAGAGCATGTTGAGATGTGATGTCTCTAATGGAGAAAACAAGGAAATCCCTGAAGTCTTGAGGAAAAGCCACTTTGTCAAATTAGGAGAGGGAAAAGAAACACAGAATATCCTCCCATCACAAGGTTCCTCTTTAGACCTGACATCCTCTGCTTGTAGACAAATCAACAAAACAACACATCAATTTCAAAACCTTGGTCTCTTAGATTACCCAGTTGGTGAGAGCCATTTGAGACAGGACAGAGACTCAGAAGAACTAATGAGAAAGGCATTTATCCTGGAGAAGGAGACTGCGAATCAAGAAAATGAAAGGCTTTCTGATGATGGTCATGTCTTATATCCTGATGAAGTGGAGGATGATGATGGGGCCTGCAGTTCATTATATCTAGAGGAGGATGACTTTTCTGAGAATGATGACTTGTGTCAAATGCTGCCTGGACATACTCAGTATTCCTTTGCAGGTGGAAGCAAGTGGAATCATTTAGGAAAGCCAAAAATGGCCGAGAGACCTCTGAATGAGTATAGTAGCAAAATAGGTAGGATTGAGCCTGAGGTGCTTAAAAGAAATGAATGTTATAAACCCACTGGGTTGTTTACAAACCCAGGTGAAAGCCCCAATCTTAATCTTTCTGATGACAGCTGTGTCCTAAATTTAGGGACCGGGATTAGTTTTAACTATGAAGAAGAATCTAACATTGCTAAATGTATACAGTCTTCCACACCTACTGATAGTTTATTTGATTACTATAGTGCAAGGAAAACTAGTTCTGACACTGAAACCCTTCAGGGTTCTGTTGCTGACACCGGAAAGAAACCAATTAGCTGGAGTCAGAGCCTTCAGAATCAGGAATTGAGAAAACATTTCACACAGAAGTTAGAACTTTTCAATATGCCAGTGTTGGCTCAGGATATCCAGCATGAACATAATCACTTGGAAGGCACAGAAATCCATAGCATGGCAGGAGATAGTGGAATAGATTCTCCACGGTAAGTGCACATTAAAGTGTCTAATTAGCCATTCCCCCAAGGTTGCTCTTAAACTCAAGGGCATAGTGAATGGCCCTTGTGAATATACTACTGGTAAAAAAAAAATTGTCACCCTTTTATGAATAATTTAAAGTTACAATCAGATCACATCTACTAGGATAGAGTTAATTTTTAATGTGAACCAAATTTTATTTGTCCAAAAATCTTTCATTATTTCTAAAATTAGAAAACATTTTCTAAAAACCAAGCACTTTGGGTGTTAAGGTTGGAAATTTTCACTTGCATTTCTGAATTTATACAGGTTGAGAAAGAGATGTCACTTTTCCACTAATGTTTTTCCCATCAATTTGCTTAAATAACTTTACTCAGATTTATAAGAGTAATATGTTCATAATAGGACATTTCAGAAGTACTGAGGGCTGGGGTATAGCTTAGTGGTAGAGCACATGCAGACATGAGGTTCTAGATTCAATTCCCAGCACCCCCAGAAAAATACCAAAAATTTTAAATGCCTTTAATGATCCTATTTTTTCTTAATCCTTTCTTCTTTGATTCATTTATAACACTTCAATCTGAATATATAGATCTCTGTATATTTTGGCTCATTGTTACTAATTTGCATTTTTCTTTTTTTTTTTGTTTTTTTTTGGTCCAGTCGTGGGCCTGAACTCTGGGCCTGGGCGCTGTCCCTCAGCTTTTCAGCTCAAGGCTAGTGCTCTACCATTTGAGCCACAGTGCCACTTCTGGCTTTTTTCTTTTTGCTTATGTGGTGCTGAGGAATCGAACTCAGGGCCTCAGGCATGCAAGGCAAGCACTCTACCACTGAGCCACCTTCCCAGCCCCTAATTTGCATTTTTCTTAATAGCTTATCATGAACATATACTCAGTTTTTTAAAATAGTCATTCTAGGGCTGGGAAGGTGGCTCAGTGGTAGAGCGCTTGTCTTGCATGCATGAGGCCCTGGGTTTGATTCCTCAGCACCACATAAGCAGAAAAAAAAAGCTGGAAGTGGCGTTGTGGCTCAAGTGGTAGAGCACTAGCCTTGAGGTGAAGAGCTTAGGGACAGCACCCAGGCCCAGAGTTCAGGTCCCACAACCACCCCCCCCCCACACACAAATCAGGGAAATTACATGCAATTGAAAAATGAGCAAAGTCCTTTTTAAAAATTGCTTGGATTGGGCTTGGAGGCATGGCTCTGTTGGTAGAGTGCTAGCCAAGGAGCAAAGTATAAAGTACCGAGTTCAAGTACCAGTCTCTGAACAAAAAAATTGCTTCTTAAATATCTTTCTTAAGATTCTTATAAGTGTAATTATTAAAAATTACTGGAGACAAGGACAGACAAAATAACATTTGAATACCAACTGTATACTATAATTGTTATGGCTAAGATTTGGGGAATAAAGATGAACAGGATATAGTTGGTACCTATAGGAAGCTTAGAATTTATTTAGTTGAGGAAACCTACTAACAAGGTAAAAAGTAGATCTTGAGAAAAAAAGTATAAATTTTTTTTTGGGGGGGGTGTCCGGTCGTGGGGCCTGAACTCTGGACCTGGGCGCTGTCCCTCAGCTCTTCAGCTCAAGGCTAGCGCTCTACCCCTTGAGCCACAGGGCCACTTCCGGCTTTTTTCTTTTTGCTTATGTGGTGCTGAGGAATCAAACCCAGAGCCTCGGGCATGCAAGGCTAGCGCTCTACCACTTGAGCCACAGTGCCACTGCCGGCTTTTTTTTCTTTTTGCTTATATGGTGCTGAGGAATCGAACCCAGGGCCTCAGGCATGCAAGGCAAGCGCTCTACCACTGAGCCACCTTCCTAGCCTGAGCATAAATTCTTTGTAACTTTCAAATATATGTGAAAATAAGAGTGATAGGTGAAGGCTGTGCAGTATCTCATGCTTGTAGTTCCAGCTACTTAGGAGGTGGGTTTCAAGAAAAGTTTAGGACAGTCTGATCTGTTTATGACTGGAGTTACTAACTCCAGTCTGAGTTAGTAATAGCTTCATCCCCACTACCTTTTTCTTTTTTTTCCAGGTCCTGAGGCTTGATTCAGGGCCTGTGTCTGAGCTGTATCTGAGCTTTTTTTCTCAGGGCTAGCGTTCTACCACTTGAGCCACGGCACCACTTCCAGCCTTTTGTTATGTGGCACTCTAACACTAAGCCACATTCTCAGCCCATCCCCACTATCTTTATTTAACAAGCAAGTTATCCCTGGTGGATCACACCTGTAATCTCAGTTATGTGCCTTCTACATAACTGGATTACAGTTCAGGCTGGCTTGAAAAATAACTAAAGCAAAAAGGACTAGGTATCTCAAAGCCCTGAGTTCAAATCCTAGTACCACTATATGAAATAAATAGCAGGGTTAAGGTATAACTCAGTGGTAGAATGCGTGCTTCATGAATGGGTTGAAGCAAGATGTGGGTAGATAGGGATCAGAGTTTACAGTTCCTGGGAAAAGAACATTATCAATGTGAAAAATGCAATAGTTTTCCGTCTTCTCAAAATAGTAAATTATATAGCAAGATATACATATTGGCCACTTTGCATGTATAGAAATTTTTTTTCAGAGAATTCATTTTTTCTGGCTAGAGTATAATTTGATATTGGATCTGAGAACTTGTTTAAAGTGTTAAATATTGAGATACTATACTGTAGTCTTAAAATGTAAAGAGCACTTTATATTTCAGAAGGTTAACTTATTTGATAAATGTATCTTAGTTTAATTGATAAATGTGCCATAAGGTTAACCTAAGTTTGACCTTCAAATTACATTTATCATATAAGCCCTTCAAAGTAAATGAATGAGAACCGGTACATGCGTCAAGTGGTAGAACACTTGCCTAGCAAGTGTGTGTTCCTGAGTTCAATTCCCAGTACCTCCAAAGTAAATAAAATTATAGTAGTTTGAATAGCATACCAGGTACCTTTTGAAGACAATAATTCTTTCATTTTTAATATCTCTAGGACACAGAGCCTGACATCTAATATTTCAGTCAGTTTGGATGAATTTAAAAGACGACAGAATTTTCAGAAGAAATTTGAAGGCACAAAGAACAGTCAGACACTCACATCTAATTCCCTACTACAACTAACTCCAGTCATAAATGTTTAATTATATTTTGAAAACTTTTTCTAAAAATGTACAGTGTTACTATGGAGCTCTTTAAGTGAATATATAAGAATCCTCCAAAGCCAAGCATATATACTATTAACCTTATCACATTCTACTAACTGGCTTTTTTCCTTTTTGATATTTTAGAGCATTTTTTTTGTATTTTACTAGGAACTTATTAGGAGTTTATAGATTGCAATAAAATAACATGGATTCATGGGTCTTTTTTCCAATTAAACGTTTTCAATTTTCATTCATTGGTTTCTCAAATGCATAGTATGTGAATTTACTACCCAGGAGTAAGTGACTTTATCGCACTAATATTGAGTTGGTAAGTGACTTTATCTGCACTAATACTGAGTTTGTAGGTTATTTGAATCTCACCAGATTTAAACATAAAATGCAGAAAACTGTTAAGGATTGGTAAAAATCTTTAACATTAGAAATTTATTTTTGTGACTTTGCAATAAGAATTCCTTTTATCCAATCATTGCTGCCAGATCTTTTCTTCAACCAGCTTGAACATGAACCAAATGGCCACAAATATGATTGATAAGTGTCTACAACTCCTGCTGCAGTAGATGTTTGGTTCCTCCTACATTTTAGGCTCTACCTATATATATATATATATAGCCTGACTTTCAGTGAAACATCAAATAATGGAGCTAGAAAGAATGGTTGCTGGATGATGTGTAATAGGGAGTTCAAAATTAAAGAGATTTAGAGAAAAGATTCAAGGTAGCTGACAAACATTTAACAATTCATTTACATTTTCATCCATTTCTGCTCATAAAGCTATATAATAACTTTTCCAGAGTCTTTTCTGGCAGCCTTTTCAGATCAAGTGGATGGTAAGTTACCCTGAATTTGGCTGGATGTGGAATCAAGACTGGTTTCAGGATGTCAGGATGGTGGTGCTGACTTATGGTTGAAGAGATTTTTTTTTTTTCTGTGTGCTAAGGATTGTCAAAGTCTTAGACCTCAAGAATAATTGACTAATTGGAAAGTGTCTTTCCAGCTCTTCCTAATTAGAATGAAGGCCAGAGTGAAGCCCAGCACTGTTGGGAGCTACATGCAAACATTGTGGGTGTGCATAAGAGGGGAAGCAAGATTTGCTCTTCTGTTTAGCAGTGGTCAGACCATTCTTTCCATTATGAGATTTCAGTGTTACCTGTTCAGTCTAGTCTATCTTGGCCTTCCAAATTTATGGTCATAAGGACATTTGCAGCCCTACTCAAGGTACCAAGAGAAGTAATCTGGCATAGAAAGGATTTGTGGGGAGATAAAGGCAGAGGCATGTTTTCAAAGGGTCTTACAGAATCAGCATCAGTGAATGGAAGTTTGGAGAAAGATTTCAACTCTGTATGAAGAACTTGATGTTTGTTGAGTATCTGAAGATGAAGCAGATGGTTTTGTAAAATAATGAGTTTCCTTTTTTTTTTCGGCCGTGGGGTTGAACTCTGGGCTTGGGCGCTGTCCCTCAAGCTCTTCAGCTCAAGGCTAGCACTCTACCACTTGAGCCACAGTGCCACTTCTGGTTCTCTAGTGGTTTATTGGAGATAAGAGTCTCAGGAATTTCCTACCCGGGCTGGCTTTGAACCCCGAACCTCAGATCTCAGCCTCCTGAGTAGCAACGATTACAGGCGTGAGCTACCAGCGCCCAGTGAGTTTCTCATTATTAAGGGCAATCAAGCAGATGTTTGGTGATCCTTTTATATCTTATTTTTCCCCCCACTAAACAGAATGGCTAAAGTAGGTATTTTCAAGAATTCTGTGTGTGTGCGTGTGTGTGTGTGTGCGTGTGTGTGTGTGTGTGTTTGGTGCCAGTACTAGGGCTTGAACACAGTAATTTTTAGACACTGTCCCTTACTTTTTCATTGCTTAAGGCAGATGTTCTCCACTTGAGCCACAGCTCTACTTCCAGCTTTTTGCTGGAAGAGTTTCTCAGATTTGTCTGCTGGTTTCAAATCTATATCTCAGGTCTGAGCTTCCTGAGTAGCTAGGATTACAGGTGCCACAGCTCCAAGGCTAAGGTCTTATGCTTCTAAGATTCAGTGAGGATCTTCTAGTTAGCTCATGTAAGAATCCCAGTTATTGGGGACTGGGAAAGTGGCTCAGTGGTAGAGTGCTTGTCTTGCATGCATGAGGTCCTGAGTTCGATTCCTCAGTACCACATAAGCAGAAAAAGCCAGAAGTGGCGCTGTGGCTCAAGTGGTAGAGCGCTATTCTTGAGCTGAAGAGCTGAGGGAAAGTGCCCAGGGCCAGAGTTCAAGCCCCACAACTGGCCAAAAAACAAACAAAAAGAATCCCACTTATTGGGCTGGGAAGGTGGCTCAGTGGAAGAGCGCTTGCCTTGCATGCATGAGGCCCTGGGTTCGATTCCTCAGCACCACATAAGCAGAAATAAAAGCTGGAAGTGGTCCTGTGGCTCAAGTGGTAGAGTGCTAGCCTTGAGCTGAAGAGCTGAGGGACAGCGCCCAGGCCCAGAGTTCAGGCCCCACGACCGGACCCACTTCCCTCCCCCTCAAAAAAGAATCCCAGTTATTGCTACCAGTTCTCCATTTCTTCACCTATCCCTGTCAGTCTTTGAAAAAGGAGCACAACAGCTGTGTTTCATCTTCAATTTTTGAACTGGAACAAGTCTCCTTATGTGTGAGGAATCCAAAATTATTTCTGGCTCTACTCACATGTAGGTACTAAAGAAACATACTGGAGGCAGGGCTGGGAAGGTGGCTCAGTGGTAGAGCGCTTGCCTTGCATGCATGAGGCCCTGGGTTCGATTCCTCAGCACCACATAAGCAAAAAGAAAATAGCCGGAAATGGCGCTGTGGCTCTAATGGTAGAGCACTAGCCTTGAGCTGAAGAGCTGAGGGACAGCGTCCAGGCCCAGAGTTCAGGCCCCGCGACCGGACCCAAAAAAAAATACTGGGTGCATTTTGGCACTCTGCATTTAGCTGTATTAAGTGAAGCTTATTATGAGAACAAAAGATTTGACTTCCTTCTATAAAATTAATCACAAATACTAATGGAAATAGATGCTACTAAATTGTTTCAGAGATTATTCTCTTAAAATAGGTGGTTTACATCCCCTCCCCATAGCCTCTGTAGTGTTCTAAGGAACCTTAGTTCTTGATGCTTTTTGTTTTACTAAAGTTGAACTACATAGACTGTTGCTCTATGTCTTCAACAATGCTTTTTTGCTAATTATTTTGGAGATGGTCTAGTGAACTTTTCTGCACAGGCTTTTAGGCTCAGACCTCTGAATAACTAGAATTACAGGTGTGAGCCACCAGGAACCATCTCTTGACTTGCTCTTTATGGTTATTTTCTTGTTTTTAAATTGTGTGTGTACCGGTACTGGCTTAAAACTTGAGTTGTGTGCTCTCACTTGACTTTTTTTTTTTTGTACCAGTCTTAAAACTTGAACTTAGGGTCTGGGGCTGTTACTGAGCTTTTGTGCCCAAAGGCTAGTACTGTACCAACTAAACCACAGCTCTACTTCTGGCTTTTTGGTGGTTAGTTGGAGATAAGATTCTCCTGGACTTCCTTGTCCAGGCTGGCTTCAGACTAAGATCTTTAGATCTGAGCTTCCTAAGTAGCTAGGAATATAGGCATGGGCCACCAGAACCTAGCTAATGTTCTATTTAGTCTTGCTATGTAGGCGAGGCTGGGCTTGAATTCTCCATCCTCTTCCACCTTCCTAGAAGTGCCACTAAGTGTCAAATCTCAATTTCTTTTCTATTATAGCCTATTTATTCTGTGTGTGTGTCCTGTACTAGTACTGGGGTTTGAACTTTTCCCCTCAAGGCTTGTACTCTTGCCACTTGAACCATACCTCCACTTAGGCTTTTGCTGTTTAATTGGCAGTTAACCAGGCTTTTCTATCTGGCTTGCTTCAAACTAGTACAGTCTTCAGGTCTCAGCCTTTTGAGTAACTAGGATTACAGGTATGAGCCACCAGCACCTGGCTCTATGTCTCTTCTACAAAGAGAAAACTGTTCTTTCAAGGCAGGTTGATGATCTGAGCTTTCGAGGCATAAATCCCATTTCTAACCTTTAGTAGCTGTATGATGAAGCAAGTTACCAAACTTCTATGGTAAAAGGGAAATAGTAATGATGTCAGCCTGACCATATTTTTTAAGTTTGGGGATAATGTATCAAAAGTTCTACGTGTATTTTTAGGTATTTATATTGTCACAAAACTTGCTTGGTAGTTACATAGCTGAATTCAGTCCCCTGTTTCTGTCACATCTGGAATCATTCCGTTACAGATTTAGTTCTTAGGTAAGATTAAAGAAAATACTTTCCAGAAAAATCCAGGAATATCTGGGAAAAGTTTTCTGTCTTTAGCTAACAAATATTTAGCTATTTTTTTCTATAAAAAGGAATACAATATGACATGTGAGCTTAGACATTGTAGACATTCATGTAATGTAACATCCTCAGTGATGCGTATCTTCTCAGATTGTAGGAATTTCTCAGAAAGTAACTTGACACTCTACAGTATTCACAAACTGCAATTTCTTCACTCAACTCCTGGTTAACTATTTTCTTTGCCAGTCATTGAAAATATACCAGCTCAAAAATGTAATCTGTGCTCAGGTATTGTAAGGCTATATGTGTATTTTACTCATAGATGGTCATGAATCATCACTAAATGCAATTTAGCAGACAAAAATGTTACAAAATGTCACATCCCTCAGGAACAAAAAAAAATGGAAAAGACTGAAGCACTGTGCTTTGCCACCTCATACAGTTATGTGAGAATAAAGATAGGAGGTTGCCTAACAGGATGGGAAAGAGAGATATCAAGCAAGAAGGGAGTATCCAAGACACACCACTAGCCATTCACATAGCTTTCTTCCTTTTGAAATCTGAACATTTTCCCTTCATCAGAAGCAGTTTCTGTAATGGGTAATAGTGCCCTCTTCTGGGATAACTGGTATGACTGAAGCTTTCACTCCTACAGCTGGATTCAAAACATGTATGACTAAAGGAATAACAGGAGGAGATATGTGGCTGAAGGAATAGAGAACTAGCCTTGCAAGTACAAGGCCCTGAGTTCAAACCCTATAGCACCAAAAATGTTTTGAATTAAAAGGTACATACATACAGGGACACGTGGTAAGTATGTTTAAAAATGTCTCTTTTTTCCAATGCTGTGAAAGCCTCCAGC